CAGGCACCCCCATTAACTACGCCAATGACTCTGACGTTATCTGCTAGCTCCGACCAGCTCGAATATTTGGCATAGGATTGGGCGATCTTTGATCGATCTTTGGAAGATCGATTTTTTCATCCTGATTTCCAATTTTTCGGATCCATTCTTTGTCCACGCCACCCGAGTACAGCAAGCCTCAGGCAAACATTGACCCGTACCTGGAGATAAATGGATCCAAACTACATTATTAGAACCTGCCGTGCATTCCGGAAACGTCTGGAGGCCGTAATTGCAGCAAGTGGAAACTCGATCGATGATTAACATAGTTTAAGACTCTGAGAAACATTCCCCCTTTGAATAAATAAAAAAAAACTCGAGCTTTTTGAGATTTTTTTTTTTTTCATTTTGACATTGCTCAATGGTGCAAACAATATCACGCATATGGTATCTACCAAAGATCGATTCTTTGGTATCGATTTAATCAGTGGATCGATTCTATAGCCAAATATAAGATCGATCTTTCTCTGAAGATCGCCCAATCCTAATTTGGCAGCAACTGAAGCGTGGAAGCGATTTAGGAGACCCTTTTGCAGGCGAACATTTCGGCTGCTCTTCCTCTTCCACTATTCGTGCGTAATCAGTTTTCACCGAGCTCCGATCATATCGACTGTCTTGCCAGAAAGCGCTGTGGAAGGCAAATTTGCGCACGAGCTGGAAAGTGATGTCCGTGCGAGAGAATTTAGATTCATTCCATTCGTCCGCTCTTCTGATTAGTTCGCGAAATATTCCTATTTTGTTCGTTAAATTTCTTAATTCTTGATAGAGCTGGAATTAGGGCATAACAGCTTTTGTAAACAATGACGTCTCTCGATGATTTCTCGAAACTCAAGGCACGCCTACGCAAACCAACTTAACCAACAGGAAGGGGAAGACTTCCCTATCTGATAGTGACGTTGATTTGAGTGAGCGAGCCTTGGCTTACTATAAATCATCGAGTGAAGTCATTGTTTACAAAAGCTGTTACGCCCTAATTCAAGCTCTATCTAGAATTGTTTAACTATTTTCTCTATTTTTACTATACACCAAAACATTGCTGAATAGTGTCTCCGTCGAACGGCATATTGCATGAAATATTTCCCATTAATTGTTTTGAGAAATATGCGTTTGAAAACACCCCCCGTTTTCGTTTCAAACCTCATTTTCAATTTCAATTTCAATGTACAGTGCTTATTTGAGGTCAATTTTAGAATATTGTAGCGTTGTTTGGTCACCCTATATGAAAAAGCATGAAGAACGAATAGAGTCAATCCAAAACAGGGGGTAGGTCACTCTGCCACCTTGTGTTTGTGCTTATTGTGTTTCATGTGTGTTTGTGGGTGTCGGAAGGTGTTTCTGTGTGCTTCATCGTATTGACCGAGTTGTCAAAACTTCAACCGAAAAATAAATTTACTAGCAACCATATCCTCAACCATAACATAACACTGAAAATGACAGACCCCCCTGCGATTCCTTTGCTTTTGTTTGTTTAAAGAAAAAGCACAACCGGCGGGCGGATTATTGTAGCTAAAATGACCGCAGCCCGGAGCTCCGGATATCAGAGTAAGACAATGAAAGGACCGCCAGCTATACTACTGAGTTGCTGTATCAGAACCAGTAGTAGAGTTCCATAACCATTTCGCAACTGTAGAGATCGAATATTAATCAGCAGCGGCTACCGTTCAGGGTCCGAAAATTAGTTCCTGACACTGGCATGAGCCCTCTCGCTTCACGAGGAAGACGAATGGGTATGTGCCACCCGAGAAGAAGGATCAAGCAAAGGGTGCATTTGCAATCAATTGGGTTCTTTAAGGGTATTGAGGTAAATGCATATTCGTAATCTGCATTAAAAATGGAACACAAAACCAAAATTTCATCAATTTTGGAACACTGGAACTATTTTAAATAAGTACGGTTACATTTGCAAAAATCACCTTATTAGCGCCCCTCGCTGTCACTCTGTATGGGAGCGAGCTGTCAGTTTGTCAGTTTAGTGTCAAACAGTGAAGTTATTATTTTGTTTTAAATCTTGATTTAAAAATCGAGATGAAAGTGTGTGGGTTCGAAAAAAATATCGCTGTGCTCCAAAAACGAAGCTCTTTCAGATGATGTATAAAACCGATATAATTTTCTAAATTAAAGAACCCAATTGGAAGGGCCGTGATTGGGCCGCCGTTGGTGAGAACCTAGGATTTACAATCAGAAAATTTTACGTTGCGTTTGTCTTGATTTTCTTGCAAGACATCTTTACCTTTTTAGCATCCTGATGCCGCTGCTTTCGTGGATCCCAACCGGTTTAGTATTTCCTTTTCTTTGAATTGGAGGTTTTCAATCCAGATCAAGAATGTTTTTCTTTCAAGGCAGGACGGTCCGACGGTTTTTTTTCTGTTTTTTTTTTAATAACCAAATAACAATCGCATGTAAACAGTGGTGCCAGAATTGATTAAAAAATTCCTTGTCATGTGACGGAAGGGTGCTTGAAGTGTGTCGAAGTATGTTTCTCTGGGTGTTAGCACAATGTGGCAGAGTGACTTACCCCCTGATCCAAAAGCAATTTTTATTATATGCACTACGTAAGTTAGGTTGGACGGCTTTTCCTCTCCCGTCATATGAAGCACGTTGTTTGCTGATCAGTATTCAAACATTGAAAGAACGTCGGGATTACGCAAAGATTTCTTTATTAAACAATATCATTTCGCAACGCATTGACTCAGCTGATCTATGGTCAAGGTTAAATTTGTATGCACCTTCCCGATAATTACGCAATCGACAGTTGTTCGCAGCAGATCGCCATCGGACCAATTACGCTAAATTTGGACCGGTAAATCAGATGATGACTGTTTATAATCATCATTGTGAAATGATTGACCTAAATATGCCCTCAACAGAATTAAAAATATATTTCAGAACCCTGCGAAGTCATAGAACATAAGTCCTAATGTTAATATGTAGTCTACGATTTGATTGATTAACGAATAAATAAATAAATAAAGACGTAGTCCTACGTCAAAATATACTGTTATTGATATTGTTGTTGTCAACAAATATACGTCAAAAGCTTTTGAAAACATCCACTAGGAGTGCTGTAAACGAGTTTGTTCAATTACTAAGTGGGTCATGGTTTACTTCTTAAAATAAGGTAGAACATATATTTAAGTAAAATTTCTTTAGAATTCACTTCAAAACTCATTTGTCATTCTCATCAATATTTTCTAGATGATTCTTCTAAGTGTCAGAATACACAAATTTCAAAGTCCAATCGTCATGTTTTTTTTTTTAATCTTGAAATCTTGGAAATGTTCACACGTAATCTTCAAAAAATTTCTTTGTCCGAAATCTCAAATTAACATCCGTAACAACATAAGAATTTCATAGTTCAATCTACACACTTAATTTTTTTTGCCGAATCTAGGAAATTTTTGCCGAGATTTGAACAGCCGAGTGCTTGGTAATCTGTTTTACTGAGATCTCAGCAAAAGTTACGTGTGGTTGCTGTGTCTCGGAAAATGTTTTGTTGAATCTCAGCAAACGAACGACATGTTTGTTGAGATCTCAGTAAAACAGATTGCCGAGCGCTCGACTGTGCAAATCTTACGAAAAAATAACTAAAGTTTGTAATAGACTGATGCAAAATTTGAAATTTTTGCTTCACAGTGTTCAAACGGTTTCGAATTGGGTCCTGATTAGCCTCCGAAAGTTTAAACTCATTTGATAAGAAACTGACTTGGCATAAACCATTTGAAATTTATATGGAAATTACTATGGGAAAACCAAACTTTTTGTTGTACTATTAAAATGTTCTATTGCTATTCTTATGAGAATTTTTATCAGCTACAACTTTGCAGAAAATTGTTTTTCAGCCAAACGTCAAATAAAATAGTTATTAATTGTTTAAGACATTGATAATCTTATGGCAAGTTTAAGCAACTGTATTGCGGGCAACACTGTATTCTGCAGTGTGACATAGTAGTCATGACTTTTGTCCTCTATTCTACGCGCCATAAGCATCAATGTTGCCTGCTGAACAGTTGGTTTAGCATAATCATAAGACACCAGTGACTTGAATCATTAATAACTTTTGTTCCTTTCATTTGATCGGAAAGTGGTCTTGAACAAAGTTGTAGCTGAGAAAATTTTCAACAAGCTCAGCTATAATTTTCTAAAGTAGAGTGGACTGGTGAATTTTGAGATAGATATGAACTGAAATTATGGTTTCCCCATAGTAATTTCTATATAAATTTCAAATGGTTTGTGCCAAGTCAGGTTCTTACTAAAGGAGTTCAAATTTTGGGAGGATAATCAGAACACAATTTGGAGCCGTTTGAGCACTGTGGAGCGAAAATTTCAAATGTTGCATCAGTCTAGTGTGTAATCACTTTATAACATTCAGTGCAATGAACAACTGAACAACCCAGTAGCGTTCGGTCTGTAACTTTGAAAAAAAAAATCATTCAGGCATATTTAGCTGTTTATATGAAACCGAGAAAATATGCTAGACACCCGGGAATTTAATTTCTAAAATCCAGTGGCCACCCTAAGATTTACCCACAAATAGCGTCGAAAACTTGCACGTGGTTACGATTTAAAAATAATGTGATCATTGAACACTTTCGCTTTTAACTTAATGTTAAAAACCGGTAAATTTTTTAGATTTGTACCGGGAAAAAACCGGGAATCTGAAAAGTAAAATGACCACCATAAATTTATGCGATTTCTTGTTAGAATTAAAATATTACAGAGGTCGAAGGTATGTGCAGAGTGGATTCGAAAACTTTTCTGAGAGGAATTCCTGGACTGACAGATAATTCCTAAAGGGAAAACTTGTTAGGACTATTCTTTGGTAGAATTCTAAAACAAGAAGTTTCAAAGCTAGTTGGTATAACAAGTATTCATTATTAATTGTTAAATATAAGAAAATGTTGGCGCCGGAATGATTGAAGTATACGCTAACATACAACATTCTCTTGCTCCCTCCCTTTCAGGTCCCGAATGGGCTTCGTACAACATTGGAATCTTTCTGTGCACACGATGCTGTGCCGTGCACCGGAGCATGGGTGCCCACATATCGAAGGTCAAGCACCTGAAGCTGGACAAATGGGAAGACAGCCAGCTGGAGCGGATGATAGCGGTGGGAAACCGGGCCTCGAAGCATAAGTACGAAACGCGAGTACCGGCGTGCTACCGGTTGCCGAGGGAGAATGATCCACAGTGAGTACTGGTTGGCATTGCCCTTCCGTGCCGTAATTTTATAACCTTATTCCCTTCGCCCGCAGAGTGCTGATCGAGCAGTGGATCCGCGCCAAGTACGAACGGCTGGAGTTCTGTATGAACGAACGCCCGGCCTACACATCCGGTCACATGGAAGGTTTTCTGATGAAGCGTGGCAAGGAGGACAGTCGCTATCAGTTGCGCAAATTCGTGCTGTCCGAGGCGGACGACACCCTGCGTTACTACGTCAAAGAGAAACGTGAACCAAAGGCAATCCTAAGAATTTCCGAACTGAACGTGGTCTTCGCTCCGGCCAAGATCGGTAACCCGAATTCGCTGCAGCTGACCTTTATGAAGGACGGCACAACGCGGCACATCTACGTGTATCACGACGACCCGAAGGAGATCAACAACTGGTACATGGCGGTACGCTGCGCCAAGTTACACCGTTTTCAGATTGCCTATCCCAGTGCTTCCGAGAGTGATCTAGTCGATTATCTGACGCACGATTTCGCCCGCGAGGGTTGGCTGCTCAAAACGGGACCACGGGCGACCGATAGCTACAAGCGGCGATGGTTCACGTTGGACGATCGAAAGCTGATGTACCACGATGATCCGCAAGATGCGAATCCCAAAGGTGAGATTTTCCTCGGCAATCGCATGGACAGCTACAGCGTCCGGATAGGGGCACCGGTCGGGGCGAGGGATCAGGGTTTTAGCTTTACGTTGTTCACCCCGGAACGGACGTACAATCTGTCGTCGCACAGCGAACAGGACCGTGACGAATGGATGACCGTCATCCAGAAGGTGCTGGATAGACCGCTCAGTCCGCAGGATAGTTCGAGTGAGTGTTGTTTGGTAGTGGTTAGTAACGAGTTATATTATCAATGGATTTTTTTTCTCCATTTCAGTATCGGCACGACTGATCCGCAAACGTGGAGGCACCAACTCGATAAACATCTTCACCGGCAGGTAATAACTTTTGATTCGCCTCCGTGTGTATCTATTATGATAAGTTTTAGCAATCACTACTGTGAAAACATCAACTACAACAGCCCACACTATAATAACCGGTCGCGATCGTGATCCGATCGATTGGCCATCAGCTACCGATGCTCTAGTATGTATGCAGGAAGGGAAATTGTAAAACAATTAATTTATAATCATTGTCATTATTGAAGGAGGGCTTTCAGCGTTTATGTGAAGAATCGTCTCGGAGATTACTTTTTTTTTCTGTTTCTGAGTGGAGGATGGATGGTTAGATGCTTCCACCCGACCATGGTAGATGTAGTGAATATTCTACATACCCACACACACTACTGCACACGCCCCAGCTGCCACACTCAGGTGCTGCAGTGAGTAGGACAGTCAGCGCCGGCACCGTAAAAAGTAGTTCCCTTTTTTTGAAAATATTTTCTTGGTACGAATATCTGTTTTCTTATGGATTATGTAAGAAGGGTATCTTATGGATAATCGATATAGGTAACTTATTAAAGGATATAAATCTAAAAGCATTGAAGGTAAATCTTATTAGATCAAACGCTAGGCACATGTTGTTTTAAGACCATAAAAAGCGCAATCTGATTTGCATTTTATTCAGAGAACCTTCAACCTAGTCAATCGTCCTAGCGGGTGGAAGGAATCGAGGAAGCACAACGCCCAGCTGCGGCCGCATACAAAGCTACGAATGAATACATACCTACTCAATCACTGCCTGTTTTGCCTATTCTACCGACTTTGATACGGAAGTATTTGTAGTAGAAGGGCATTAAACAAATCGAATTGGAGCGTAGAATGTTACACCCCAACAGCAACAACTACAGAGAATTGATTTCAACTCTTCTTGGTATGGAAACTATTTTACAATCCCTTACCACAACACAATAGATTACGAACATACCTAACTACATACAATAAGGCTGATTTTCTTTAGAACTGTAATGCAATAGGATTATTTATTTTTATGTTATTTTTTAGTCAATTTTTTACCACCGAATCAAACTGTTGATGAACAACTTCTCTCCTTTTATAATTAGTCTATTAGGTAAAAAGAAGCCTGTGTTGTGCCAACTCGATTTTTCTCACCCCGGGACGGTTGACTGTACGCCATTATCTTATCGGTGTGTTTCATGTTGGATGCATGGTTATTGAGTGGTATTTTTTTAGTTTCCTGAAACTGGGTCTGGATGAATTTAAATTGAACAAAAACTTCAGTTCATATGGGCATTTGTTGTCGATTTTAAGTTTCTTGGAGTATTTTGATATGAACGAAATAGAAGCATAATTTTAGATACGACTATGAAGACACTTTGCTTCCATAATCTTATTTATTAAGGCTAAAATATCTCAAATGTTTAACAAGTTAACGAAAAGAACAGCAAATCATAAGTTCTCCTTTTTCTGGGAGGCGACACCAGTTTAGCTTCTGCTTTCGTCTGTGCCATTTCCTAGTATTATCTTCTATTTGTTTTTGCTCGGGGCAGGAATTTATCCGTTCTTGTTCTTGATTCCGTCATAATAAATGTTCCCCTTTTGGTTGAGGAATAAAGCTGCAGGGTGGAAGGATTTCCATTTTCACGTTCATATATACACCTCGTACACCAGTGTGCACGTCAAGCTGCTTTTCGTACTTTCCCAGTACCAACGTTAGATCACGATCCGGTACTTCTGGTGTCTAATCATATAGTCGCACGTATTGTCTCTCGCAGACGACATACGTAAATAATGCAGGGAGGCAAAGGAACGTAAGAATTCCATACGAATTTCTGACAAAAGCATTTATTATGGGAATCATAAATTTGACACAAACAAGCGATGATACTGATATTTGACCGTGCATCAGAACCCTGGGCAAAACTCATAGGCGAATAATCTCACGCAAGAGAATTGAGTTCGTCAGACTTGGCGGTTTGACAGACTGTCTATGACTTTGACAGTTGACATCTAATTCCATGATATAATCGATGTTATCACTCAACTGATCACTCCGCCACTGCATCCAACAGGAAAACACCGTGCAAACAAAAAATACGAAAAATACAACCCTCAATACTTTCAGGTCATTTTTTAGTTTTATCAAGTTGCGAAGATAATTAACCTATTGAAAAAAGTGTAAAAGAAACACTAAAGAAGAAGAAGAAGATGATTCAAATAGTGAACTTTAATAACCATGATTCATTATCATCACCGTTCGATTCGAATTCGAAGCCGGATGCGACGAACAAACGGTACATGTTATTACAGACAAACAAGTAACGCATAATGGCATAGAACTTTTTCCTAGGCGATAAGAATTAGATAGACAAAACTAATAATTGAATTGACTAAATTCTATGAAAAGCGACTACACATTCATACATCTCGTACTAGTAAATAACCATATTGAAACAATTAGGGCTTATTTTGGTTTGACTAGTTTATTATACTTTTCCAGCAGTAGCAATTCATGTTTCCATTTTCCCATATAGGTATATTTTTATTTCACTGTTGCTCAAATACAATTATGAACTATCTTCCGTTCGTTGCAACCGACACTGCTTGATCACTGTGACCGTTTGTTCTCCTGTTGTTTTCTTTTCTCTTTCGAACGAGTATTTAAGCAATCTATTAAGCATGCATTAGGCACTTTTTCTGGGGGAAAATGCAATCTTATTTAAACATATTTTTTCTTGTGTAATCATATAAAATCTAAATCGAAATAAATTTAATCCAATAAATGAGGAAAGGAGACAGGAAACGTGAAGCGAAAAGTAAGAAAAATCTGCCAAATATAGGTAATGTAGATTGAGAGAACCGAACGATTTATCGCGCACCCCTACCACCTTACTTGTAATAGGGCATGTGGTTCTGAGATAGCAGAGCCGAATTATAGTCAGTAGGGAAAAGGAAAAGCAAAGAGTTTGAGGAGAAAATAGCTCTGATTAGATTTAGACAAGAGAAAATCATTTGCTACGAGGAAACAAGAGACTAATAACTGGGAAAAGAAATTAGCGTGAGGAAATCATAAAGACTAGAGAAAAAATAAACGATCTAGAGTTAAGAATAAAACAGAGGAAAGGTTTGAAACGAAATCCGGACTGCCTATGATCGGTATGGTTCTATTTTTAGAGAAACTTCCCTTTCGATCCAGGCGATCCATTCGTCGTCCACCAACTTTTCGAAGGTGACTTCTTTGAACACCGGAACCCGCTTGATTTCCCGGAATCCCATCTTTCCGAACATCTGCATAGCCCTGCAGTTGCTGTCCTTTGTGATTGCCTTGTACCGACGCAGCTGGAGCTGCTTGATTCCGAAATGGAGCATCAGGAGTGTGGACTCCCAGCCATACCGTTTCCCCCGGGCGACCTTTTCAGCGATCATTATTTCGATTTCTCCCGTTTTCAGATTGCTGTCATCCTCCTCCGGGTCGTCTGACTGGAGGAAAATATTGGTATCGCCAATCAAGGCTGCTATCTCATCACCGTTTTGCTCAAATTGCGCCCTTTCAAGGATCAGGAAGGTGCATTCTAGGATACGAAAGAAACAAGAATGGCAGAATATTAAATGAACACAGCGCGAAAGAAACGAATCCTTGTTTTACTGTCATCATCCTCTCGCCAAGATTTTTGCATTTGGTATTCTTCTTCCTGCAAAAGTGGCTCCGATGCGGTTAGTTCTTGGAGTTCTTCGCTCTGCATCCACTGGTGGTACTTTTCCACGTGTTTGCTTTCGTACGGGACCAGGATCACGTTAGTTCCGACGATTTTGAGATTCTCGTTTAGTCTCATCGCTGGGACCTGGAACAACGGGATAGAAAGTGATAATGAATTGCGAATTTGTATGAAAGTTTGCTTGCAATCTGTTTGCTTCAAAAATGTAGTTTCATCCCTCGGCAACATAATTTTCACTGTAATTGAGAATCAGCTGGGATCGGCCTCTCGGAACTGAAACACGAAATAGCTTAAAACTACAATCATGTCGATCAACTCGCTGTTCCGAGTTCAGATGCTACACTTTCGGCGTGTAGTTCTATTGAGAGATCGGTCCGGTGGGTGAATTAGCCCGGGAACGTGTTGATAATTGTGTTTATTCCACTTCTCGTGCGAATCGAGATGACCATTCTCGTTTCCTTCTCGCGTGACAATTCTCACTCTATTCCGACTGTCGACTCGCACGACGCGAGATGTTCATTTTGCATCGAGAGGAAGGATGAATCGCACGCGAAGTGCTGTTCATTTCAAGAAACGTCAAACTGAAAGAGTTCATCGCGGAAGCTATGATAAGGACGTATGCAGTATTTTCTGATAAAACAGTTATTTGATTTAGGTATAAATATCAGTTTTTTCAATAAATAAAAGCATAGATATGGATAAAAACAATAGAGCACACGTTTTTCTATCATTTGAGAATTATAGCTTAAGGTTCTAAGTAACTTTCTGTGCCATTTCGATAGCACCACCGGTTATGTAATTTGGTCCTTTTTTGAGAGAGGTTTGTTGTTTTTAATTCGAAGCTCATCCAGAATGTTTTCACTTGTTTTTATAATGGCACCGCCAACATCTGAAATATTCACCGCGCGAACCTCAAGTCCTTCGACGAACAATCTCTTCCCGGCGGGGATTTAAGTCAGCGTGTTTTAAATCGCAGCCCGAGTCTCCCTTCCTGCCGTTGAGTCCACATCGACCAGGAGAAGAAGGGTATAGCCATCGCCAACAACTCGACTTCCGATAGGAAGCCAGTTTTACCCTTCTTACAGATAAGGGTATTCATATCAAGTGCCAGGTGATAGGTATTGTAGTCCTCCTATCGAACGCTATTGAATATCTTAGGAATTCCAAGATCCGGAGATAAAACAAGATCTGACAAAATTTGAATTATTCGTACAAAACATCTCCTAAACAAAACAGTTGCCAAACGAAAGGTATTTAAATCCCACAGTACTTTAGCTGGGATTATCTGGAGTTGGGTCAGACATTCTTGAGTTATGACCGCGAATGATTTGGAAATGCCTGGTTATGGGTACAAAACATCATATCTTCTCAACAACTGACCCGTGTTTGACAAAACAATCGCCAATCGAATGGAATTGAAGTCCCACTGTACTCTATTTAAAAATATTTGGAGCTAGTTCAGAAGTTCTGAAGTTATGACCTGAATAAAGTCTGGGTTTGTCAGTTCCGTGTTACAAAATCACATATCTTCTCAACTACCGAACCAAATTTGACAAAACAGCCGTATCCTTTCGTTAGGCAGTATCTTAGCTGGGAATATCTGGAATTGGTACAAAACAAGATATTTTCTCAACAACTAAACTAAAATTGACAAAACAATCGCCAAATGAAAGGTATTGATACTCTACAGTACCTGAACGAGGAATATCTAGATTTTAATGATCTGGGAATGCCAGGTTATTGGTACAAAATGGCATATATCCTCATTAACTGTAACAAATTGGACCAAACAACTGCCAAACGAAAGGTCCTGGGACCTTATATTTTTTTTCTTGAATGTCATAAGAGATTGACTGGTGTCGAAGTTATCATCAGAACCACTGATCCAAATTTGACATACCAACCACCAATCGAAAGGTTTTGGAGTCCAACAAATCTCTAATTAAGAAAATCTGAGATTGGTTCACACTATCTGAAGTTATAAGTTATACACGTTTTTTTTTTTAATATTAACGATGAATGATATCTGACATAAGAGTCGTTCAGAATATTCTCACTACGGAGCGCTAGAATACATGTGAAATTCCTGCATGTGATATAGGGTAAATGTTGGCTTCGGCACCCATTTACTGTTTTCGGCAACCTAAATTTAAACGTTAATTTCACTATGTTTTCCCATCAACGCACTTCCCTGAATGTGTCCAAACGATTGTTTAGCCTTTCAGCTTTAATCTGATTATATTTGAACGATCGAGCAATCCAGTAATGCTACATTTTTCTTCAAATAAAGCATACGCACTACAAAATGGGGTTGATTTCGAGTTGCCGATAATAGAACAGCTGGTTAACACGCAGTTCTAATGGGAAGGTTGCCGAAGAAAAAGAGGCTGCCGACAATAGTCACACTCACCTGAGAAGTTTGGAGCGTTGTAAAAACGCTTTCAAAACGTTTTGAAAAATTCTGTCTATTGGAATGGATAGAGAAGCAAGCAGCAGATGAATGTAAACAAACAGACACATCATATATGTGCGTGACGCTGAGAAAATGCTAGTAGAAGTGCAGACGCTGCTTAGATTGACGAGAATAGGTAAATTCCCCTATACGTGCAATTTTCGCATATACAATAGCTCGAGATCCTGAGCAGATAGAAAGCTACTGTTTTCGGCAAACTTGTTCATTGGGTCAAGACTTTTTGGCTGGTGCACAGTAGCCCAGAATTTTCTCACCACGTGGCGCTAGTAAACTTGTACAATTATCACGTATGCTATAGCTCGTGATTCTGAACAGGTAGAAAATTACTGTCTTCGAAAAAGTTGTTCATGAAGTCAATGTCTATTGCTTGGTGCACAATAGTTCAGAATTTTCACACTAAGTGGCGTTAGTATACACGCAAAATTCTAGCATGTAAAATATCTCGAGATTCTGTTCAGATAGATTTCGCTAGTGGACAGTAGTTCAAAATTTTCTCACTACGTAGCGCTAGAATACACGTGAAATTCTCGCATGTGGTTTGTTTCGAGATCCTGACCAGCTAGAAAGTTTCTGTCTTCGCAAAGTTGAGAATTTCCTAAGCGGCGCTAGTATACACGTGAAATTTTCACATGTAAAATATCACGAGATCCTGACCTATGTTCGGCAAAGTTGTTCAGGGAGCCAAAGCCTTTTGGCTGGTGGACAGAAATTCATTTTGTATACACATGCAATTCTCGCATTAGATATACAGGGTGCGTGACGATTTTTTGCAGTAAATTTCAAATAGTAATTTCTCATGCTTGTGCATCATGATTTAGATATATTTGGTAGCACTGGATAGCTTATACTGTTAGGTGTAAGATTTAAACAAACAATGTTGAGTAAACGTAAAGATGTCCAAACAAGAGAGCAATCTGTCAGCCGTTGTCGCTTTGTTGCGCGCCGGAGTATGCATGAAAGAAATAATTCGGTCGGTAAATGTGTCTGAAAGAACAGTGTATAATATTAAAAAAGGCTTGGGAAAGTGATAAGACGGAGCACCTGCTCATACTGCTAATAAAGCTTACGGAAAATATTTCGTAAATTTGGGAGGAAGAAATTTGGCCCCCGAGCAGTCCCGATATCAATCCGTTGGATTATTTTGTATAGGGCATCGTCCAACGGGATACCAATAGAACCCCTCACACCACACTTAAGTCGCTAAAAGCTAAAATCAAGGCAGTGATGACATCTATGGATCGAAACATTTTAAAACGTGCATACTGCAGTTTCCGGAAGCGTCTAACTACAGTCGTCGAAAGGGAAGGCAATTTTTTTGAATAAATTTACTTACAACTTCCATATGTTGCGAAAGAAAATAAATCGCACAAAATTCATTGCTAGAATAACTAAATGGTGTATTTTTTCTCAAATATGCCATTTACTGCAAAAATTCGTCACGCACCCTGTATTTCGAGACCTGCTAAACTGTCATCGGTAAAGTTGTCCAGGAGATCAAAACTTTTTCGTTGGTCGACAGTACAGAATTTTCTCACTATGCGGCGCTAGGATATACGTAAAATCTTCGCATATATAATATCTCGAGATCCTGAACAGCTAGAAATTTACTGTAGTTGGCAAAGCTGTTGAGGAGATAAAGATCTTTTGGCGGGCAATTCTCGCATATCAAATATCATAAAATAAAAATACAATTTACATCAGCCTAAGTAGGATAAGCCAAATATATTCTGGAATTCTTTTATTGGTGAAGATTTTCATGTATACCTTTGATAAATTAGTGGTAACACGTATCTCAGATGGAAAACATTATCTTAAAAGATCAATATCGTTGAAACTTCCACCAAATGAATGTTTAGAGTTTCCTTTCATTTAAGGCTAATTTCAAAATGTCTTATTGAGGGGTCAGAACAAAAAAAAAAGCCTTGTATTAACGTGTCACGGACAACGAGACTAACTCAGAGAGTTAGGCATTTTTGCTCAGTTGAATGGAGAAATTTATAAAACTGTACACTCCCGATCATAAGTGTAAGGACATGCCCTAAAAACGTCAAATTTTCGTTCTTTTTAGAACATTTTAAAGATTTTAAATGGAAATACGAAGGGGCAAATTGCTCAATATGATTTTCAAATTTTGTATACCAAAGCTTCACCCAAAGTTACACTATTTTTCGAAATTTACTCTTAAGAGTAATGATCGATTTTCTCAGAATTGACTTGGAAAAAAAATTGAAACTAAAAGTAGTAGTAGAACCCTTATGCTCAAGGGCGTAGCCAGGTTTCGAGCTAGGGAGGGGCGAAAAAAAAATTACCATGGAAAATTTGGCCGAATGCCATTTCACCGAACGCCATTTCCTCGAAAGCCTTTGTGTTGCCGAGTTTAGGGGGGGGGGCAGTCGCCCCCCCCCCCCCCCTGCCCCTATCTGGCTACGCCTATGCTTATGCTATACCATTTATACCATTCAAATAACCTAAGGAGATCAAAAATTGGACGTAACATTAGAGAGCTTTGAACAAAACACATTTGCATGTTCACCATCCGGAAGAACTTTGCCGCATATACAACTTTGACGATGACAGTTACTTCCTGACCTTAAGCTGTAGCATATACAAATATTTTACATGCACACTAGCGCCGCATACCGAAAATATTCTG